CGTTCATGTCCTCACATGTTCTCTACTTTCTGTCTTATTTGTGCCTGAAGTGCTCTGCTACTGCGGAGCTCATCAACTGTGCTGCGGAGATTTCACCTCACTGACGCAGCATCGAAACACGCTCTCCGCTTTGCGGTCACGAGATCCCTTTGATCTGCTCAAAAGTAACTGATGAGGTGAAAAAGTAGCTGCAGTTTTTTCTGGAGAGTTTAGAGGAGATGCAGGAAGATGAGAGACAGACAGGGCAGGAAAATTGTTAAATAAAAACAAGAAAACAAAACAAAGTGTTGAAAAGTAAAATGTAGGTATCTCCAACACGCGTTTTTACCAGTATAAAGCAATAAGTTATACACATGTAATATTTATACATTTTATACAATTCAGATCACCTTCAAAACTCAGTCACACAGCCAGGGCCGTTTCAAGGCATTTTGGGGGCCAATGTTATATGTTATGTGCCCTGCGGTCTTCAGTAAAGTGCACTTGCAGAAAGTGCACAGTTTGGCTTCAAATACGTAGTACAAGTGTGCAAATAATTGCTGAATTGAGACAGGGAGCATTGCATAGCCTTGTAGAAAGACTTGAACATGTTGTAGGGATCAAAGGAACAGCGCTAGGCTGGTTTAAATCCTGCCTGTCTGATAGATTTCATTTTGTAAATGTACATGACAAATCGTCTTCATACTCCAGGGTTACTTGTCGAGGACCATTGGGTTCAGTGCTTGGACCAATTCTTTTTACTATATATATGCTCCCAATTGGTAAAATCATTAGACAGCATGGGATAACAAATGTTTACAAAACCTTCGCCATTCATCAATGTTGTTGTTTTACACAATTACCTCTTTACTTACCAGTGATAAAAGGGAGTCTGATGTGCTTGTTTGACCCTAATGGCCATCTGTTGGTGAGGTCTTACTCCAACACAAAAATACAGCTTGCTTGCAATGATTTAGTTATGTACTGCCCCCTGTTGCAGGGAAAATACACACCATCACGTTAAGTTAAGTGATTTATGACATGTCTATGTAACTGAAAAAGTAGGAACTGTAACATTTGCTGCCTCTTGGCCAGGACTCCCTGCAAAATGAGGTTTTTAATCTCAATGGGATCTTCCTGGTTCAATAAAGAAATAAATAAACCCAACTTAACATGAACAAAAAGCTAACGTGAGCTCAACGTCCCTGATCTTCCTCTGGTCTGCATGTTTAAATCTTCAGTCATGTAGTTAATGTGGGTGAGAACACCTCACAGACGAATCTCAGTTTCCAGTTGACTTTATAAACGGTTTCAAACACCATTTATAAACACCTTTTGTTCTTTTACCTGCTGGGGTTTATGGATTCTGACTGCATGTAACACAGCAACATTTAACAGACACTTTTTAAAATCATCAAAATTATGTTTTTTTTCAGAACTTTTTAGCTGGTCATCAGGAGAAAAAGACATGTCATTTTTCAAAAGATTCTTTGCATTTTGACATTTTTGTTGCATTAACAGTAAGATGTTCGGGCTAATAAAAAACATTTATTTGGTAAAGCAGAAAATAATCATTAGTGTTTGTGCAATTTAATTCAATGGAAAGACAGATAATATATTCTGCTTGCAAAAGGGTCAGACAAAGGTTACCATGGCTACACCCTCATCCTGTTGCACAATGACAGAAAATTTCCTGCGGAATGAGCCACGGCTGTACTTTTGATTTTTGCGACATTTTACTTTTCAAAAGAAGAGACAGTGAGTCACGCTTTGGTTAATTAATTCATAAACAGACATTGTGCTGTAATCTGGGTTTGACATTTTTCATTCATGGTTTGTTGCTGACAGCTTAAACACAGACTTTGTCTCATGAGGATTAGAAATGAGGTTCCTGTGTAAACTGCAGTTTTAAACAATCACATTTAGCAAGTGCATACGTACTGTACCATGAGTTGTACTAGAGGATAAATAATTACCACATTCTTGGTTTTGTACTTTATTTTTACCATGTTTATTGGTCTGTTGATGTGATATAAGTAGCCAAAAATTATTTAGTTTATCTTTTTTTTTATACAAAGGGAGTACCCCACGTTTTGGTATCGGTAATTAGAGTTAGACTTAATCAGGATATCAGTAAAAAAATCGAACATCCCTACTTTTTGCAACTGATATTTACACATTATGAATAGAACATTCCAAAATGTTTCATATTATACCTCATAAATATAACATTTTCTTGTCATAAACTCTAAATTCTTTGTTTTAGTTAGATTTATGCTTTGGTTAGGGTCATTTATGAGTTGGGGACATTTTATTAACAGCAACATCATCTTAGCCAATTGTAGCCAATACAAACAGGGCTATAACTCTGTTCATTTTAAAGATACTGAGCTTAAAACTTGTGCCATAGTCTCTAAAACTCATCCTCGTAAAAAGTCAAAACACTACATATCATAAACTTTCCTCACACATTTAACATAGTTTGAGCCAACCATGTTTGTCTGCTAGCATAAGCTCAAAAACCACTGGATGGAGTTAAATTAAAATCTCAGGAAAGATTTAATATCTGATTACCTGTTGTACTAACTGTATCCAGCGTGGCTGAACCCTAATAGTCCGTAACAAACAAAAACACAAACCTCCTATCACATTGCAGATGCATGGCTGCAGCTTGTCCAGAACTCGGCTGCAAGATTTCTGACGCACTAGACAACGGGAACACATCACTCCTGTGCTGGAGGCCTTACACTGGCGCCCGGAGCAGTACAGAGCCAAATTTAAGATCCTCTTACTTGTGTACAGGGCTCTTCAAGGCACTGCTCCCTCCTATCTGTCAGCTTTACTGCACAGACCTGTCCCATCTCGGTCTCTTTGTTCGGTTGAGCGAGAGTTGTTAGTGGTCCCCCACTCCAAATACATTGCTCTGGAACGAGTTACCTTTGAGTGTAAAGTCTGAAGACAAATTTTTATGTGATGGCGTTTCAGCATTAGGGATCACAACATTGCCTTCCCATAATCCAACCGGCACATCTTCCAGTGAGGAAGCAGAGTCTGGAAACTTTGGGTTGAGCTCTCCAATCTCTAGTGCTGAGGTAACTGAGGTGGTCAAAAAGCTCCTCGGTGGAATGGCTCCCGGTGTGGATGAGATCTGCCGAGAGTTCCTTAAGGCTCTACATGTTTTAGGGTTGTGTTGGCTACGATATCGCATGGACATCAGAGGCAGTTCCACGGGACTGGCAGACCACCTTCAGGGGGACCACACTCCTTAGCCTCCCTGGTAAAGTCTGTTCAGGGGTTCTGGAAAAGAGGGTCCGACAGATTGTCGAAGCTTGGATTCAGGAGGAGCAATGTGATTTTCGTCGTGGCTGTGGAACACTGGACCAGCTCTGGAACACTGGACCAGCTCTATACCCTTAGGACGCCCCTACGGAGGGCGCATGGGAGTTCACCCAACCTACATATGTTTTGTAGATTTGGAGAAGGCGTATGAACGCATCACTCAGGAGGCACTTTGGGTGTACTTTGGGAGTATGGGGTACCAGGCCCTCTGATACAGGCTATGAGGTCCCTGCATGACCAGTGTCAGAGCTTGGGCCACATTGCCGGCAATATCTTGAGCTCATTTCCGGTGAGAATTGGACTCCACCAAGGCCGTCCTTTGTCACCGATTCTGTTCATATCTTTTATGGACAGGAGTTCTAGGTACAGCCAAGGTGTTGAGGGGATTCTCGTTTGTGGCCTAAGGATCAGGTATCTGCTTTTTGCAAATGATGTAGTCCTGTTGGTCCAGGGAATGCCTCAGGATTCCCCCGGAGGAGCTGGCCCAAGTGGCTGGGGAGAGGGACACCTGGGCCTTCCTTCTTAGGTTACTGTCCCCGTGACCCGACTCCGGATAAATGGCCAAAAATGGATGGATGGAGCACAGCCTTGATCTTTTATAGTTTTTCAGCTGGTTTCACATGTTTTCATGTTAGTTTCCTGTTTTTATTCAATGTTCTTTTCATGTTTTTATATTTGATGTTTCTTTTAATGATACACACTACATTTGTTCTTATCATGAGTTTTATAGTTGTGTTCAGCATATTGGTCAGCTGATAAGGTCGAGGAAGGTGCTTTATAAATAAATGAAATTAGAGAAAATGAATATTAACTCAGTCACATCAGCAAATTGCAGATCTTGTAATTTAGTGTGAAAATGTGCATTAAGTTATTCTAGAGATTTTACCAAAACATCTGTAACAAATTCACTGTACATACTTTTATACTGATCACATGTTTTATACACACATAAAAAGTTTTGGGGAAATAAATTCTGGTAACTTGTGTATTGCTGCCTGTTGAGCAGCATCTCAAGTAAAAGTCCATTTCTTTTAGAAGAGTATTTGCATACTGGGGTATTTCCAGGAAACCACATCAACCTACCATATGTAGCCTACGCATCTACTCTACAGTCCCACGCTCGCTAAATGTCACCTGGTCCCTGCCTTGGTAACCTATTCCCCAACTGTAACAGCCTCATCTCCCCTCTCTCCAAACTTCCCCCTCCCACCAAATGAACCATTCCTCTTGAGCTGATTTTGTGCTTTCTGTGAGGGAGGGGGATCCCTTCTTTTCCCATTACTATTAGCACGACACACTAACAATAGCCAGGAAAGAGCTGAATGACGGGGTAAAAACTAACAAAGCCTCTTTTTAAAACTCCTCTTTTGGACTTTTTATTTCTGGAAATTAGTAACAAAAGAGAAACAAACAACTGAGGCAGAAGAGACAAAAATAAAAAAGACCTAACAGTGAAAATGGTGCATTTCACCACAGCTGAACCAGGCCTTAGCAACATATTATCTGATGGCTTTTGCAGCACCCACAGCACTTTCTACACTGGAGATGGATTCACACAAACACAGCTGCAGGATTTCATGTGAAATGTTCAACGGTGAGGCTCTGGTACGAAGGGCAGAAAACAAGCCAATGCGCATTTTTACACACAAACACACATTCACTCAAGAACCACAATAGTCAGATTTCTTAGTAAAAATAATTCATTTCAGGACAACATATAAATGATTATTGAATCACACAATACAGATATCTTGATATGAATAAATACTTGACAAATAAAACCAGGCTTTTTTCATACAATATCCTACTGTCAAAAGAAACTTCCAAACCCTTTTGCAGGTTTTGTTACACCTTCTGCTCTCACACCGATGCTTTTATTCCATGTTAGAACGTCCCTACAAGAGTCCAGAGTACCATTCCTAAATGCCTCAGCAGCTTAGACAAATCATGTGCAATTTATATGATCTCCTTCCAGGCAAAAACCCAGTCAGAGCCCCAAAACGTTGTTAAAGGACCCCGATGAGCTGACCACTAATTGGCCTTTAAATGATTAAGGTTCGTCTAGAGGTGATTAAAGCACACAGAGATCTATGCACAGGCCGTCAAGAGTGTAGACGACAGCTTTAGATACAGTTGAATGAAAAGGCAGACCGAAAGCCTGTGTGTCATTTCTAACTTAAGCCACAGATGGACATCTACATCAGATTAGCTGTTCAGCAGAGGTCTAGGGGAATGACTTGCAGCCGATGTCACATTTGAGTTCTATTAATAGTTTGCACTTGAGGTTTTACGTGAAAATGAATATTAGATTAAACAGAAATTTGCAGAAAAGAGCATCTGCGACGTCTTCAATCTGGGTTGCACAAAAACAAAGATGTCCATCTGTGACACTTTAGACTAGAATAACCCAGGCTGGCCGTCTTAAGGAGGTAACAACAACTGTTTGGCAATTGACGGCACTTTTTTTTCTTTTTTTTTGGCAAAAACAAACATCCAAAAAACAAAACAAAAGGAAGAATCAACAAAGGAAATTAGACATGTCAGTTTCTTTTGTTTTGTTCCCGAAGTACATCAGCGAGGGCCTTGTGTGTGTTAGTTAAAAGATGAGGCATCGGGTTCAAAGGTACTACGGTAAAAACTAAGTTCCATGTTCACAAGAGTTTTAAAGGTGTGGAGAACTGATCTGAGTCATCGATCAGGCCCCTATGGTCCATAAAGGCTTGTAACTACTTAAAGGCAAGACGTATGCAGGATGAGCCCCAGTACTGCAGAAGCAGCACAAAGCACATTCAGATAAAACAAGACTTGCCGAAGCAGGCAACAAGATTGCTCTCTGAAGTTTGGAAACTGTCACCCTGGCACATTCGAGTGGGATTTAGTAGAGAGGACAGCAACTCTTTATGGGTTTGTTTACCTACACGTCACCTCGGGCTCGGGTGGGGGTATATAATCTCACAGAGCTGTGTTTGCAGGAGCAAACGAGTGTGTGGTGAGAAGGTGAATAATTATCCAAACTGACACACCTTCCATTCCCTAATAAGGTCTTTCTTTTGTTAATTCCCTTCTGACAGGACCGGCTACACTACATTTGTGTGTCTTGTAAGTGTTTCTAGGTGCTTAAGTTGCAAGTAAACATGAAAATAATGTCCAAGGCAACATATCTGTTTTTGGAGAAGAGGGGAAATTAAAGGAAGAGGAGTGATGGCAAGAGTCCTGTCCTCACTGTGTTCTCTGCCTTCTGACGCCAGCATGTTGGCTACAAAGGAGAGGCTCGAGTTTCTGTACATGTAGCACCAAAACTAGCAGGGTCCCGCCCTGTCGGTCTCTGTTTGGTCACATGTTTTGCTTTGAATTCCAACATGTAGCTATTTCATTTAACTTAAAGAGAAATAATCAGCTTAAGAAAAACACACAAAAACCACTAAGAACCAAGGGAAGGGAAGAATTACAGTTTGAGAGTCTCAATATCTAGAGGACCAAAAAATATTGAAAAAAAAAAAGACTTTTTGAACAGCTGAGCTAAACAATATGGTTTCAAATCTAACTCCAAACATTTGACTTGCTTTGCTTTGGCTCAGTTCGCCTCACTTTTGCCGACTACTTCCACAGATTTTCTGCCCGGGCTTGCCACACTCACTGCATCCCTCGCTCGATCGAGCGAATGCTAGACAGACAGGCAGACTGATACACAGATGGTTAGGACATACAGACGGACGGGGTAAAAATCCTTGGCTGTGGTCTATAAAGCAATGTCGTATGCTTCTTGTTACGCCAATATACAATCATTTTGTCCGGCACGATTCCTGACGTACCTCTAAATACGTACTGTACACAAGAGTTAGGTCAGTTGCTCTGACATGTCGCCAAACCTCTAACCGTGTAAGAGCACACGGCGGATCGGATGATAATAATTGCACAAAGAGGTATTCTGGAGGCCATGTCTAATGCAAACACACACACACACACTCACCAGCCCCCCCATGTACACACACACTCTCGCTTCACATTCGACATGGGGGAGGTTGATTTTTCAGGCCATAAGGTTACTAGTTAGTCACTAGCTAATTAGTTGGTTAGTTAGTATCAGAGGTGCATTGACTGGCATGGGGAGCCCGCTGCAGGGCGGCGGCTCTAGCGTGCTACCAATGAGTTGTCGTTAACGCTCCGCGTCGCGGGTGATCAGCCACGGTAAATCTGTTTGAAGTGGTGGCACTCGTTGCAGTAGCCCTGTTTCTCTTGGTTGGCATAGTGGTCACAGCCCTGTGTCCGACACCTCTGCTTTGACTTTTCTTTGGGCGCCTGCGCCCGTCTGCCGGCCTCTCGGCCCTGGCCACGCGTGTGGCACTCCGGGCAGAGGTCAGTGCAACCCGGGGACACGTTAGTGCAGCCACTCCGTCGACACTGAGTCTGGGTCTGGGATTGCTGTGAAGATCTGGGTTTAGCTGCCCGGTCGCGCTTTTTATAGAGAAAGAGGGAGAGAAAATGGGGAAAAAAAGGACTAGTCAGCAACTGAGAATTAGATATGGGGTACTGTGAGAAAACTACTGAACAGGAAAAAAGACATCAGCTGTTTGAGCAAGAACCTACCAGCGGAGGGGAGTGTGGCGTCCTGTGTGCCACTTGGTTAAGACGTGTACTCTGCTCTTTGACGTAGCACTTATCACAGTAGCCCTCCAGCATTGCTTTGCCAACTGCACCGCATCCAGACCCTCGACAGCGTGTAGCGTTCTGGAAACCTGCCTCCAAACCAAGTCTGTTCTGGACCGGAGCAGGAGGAGGAGTCAAGTCTGGAATAAACAGCCACAAGCATAAGCAACAAGCCAGATAATTCATCAACATTTATAGTTTGATAAGGTATTTATTTTTAAATGTCTACATGTTCATTTTGTTTCAGGACTTACGATGATTGGTCTGATAGTCTACATAGCAAATAGTGCAGAAACCCAATTTCTCTGGTGTCCCAAAGAACTGGCAGCCAGATCTTTTACAAGGCCGGGCCAGAGGGGTCTGCCAGGCCGACGTGGGTCCCGGGGTCAGGGTGAGGCACGGCTGCTCAGCGTCTCTGGTTTGGCTCCAGGCAGAAGCCTCAGTCCTGGGGTTGCTCTGCTGTGGCTCACCCCTTTCTGGAGCCTGCTGCCTCTGCATGCAGGGTGGGCACAGACCATTGAATATCCTGAATGCTTCCTGTCTGCACATGCTGCACCGCTCCGTCTCTGTCTCGCGGCCTCCCCACTGGGTCCAGCCGGAGCCTTGGGGTGGGTGGGGAACGACTGGTGCTCCGTTGGTGCCTGGGAGTCCTGTAGCAGCTGTTCCAGCTCCAGGGGGTCCGTGGTTCTGTCTGGCGTTGAAGCAGCGCTCACAAAGTCCGTCGTGCTCCACACTTAGGGTGAAGAGGCAGCCGGGTGTTTTGCACTTCATGGCGTGAGTTTCACTATAAAGGCTGAGGCTGGGAGCGGTGGGCGGGGCAGAGCGGGGGCTGGATAACACCACCCCTCGTCCAGAGGAGGAGCATGGGGGACTGCTGTTTCGAGCTCCTCTGGAGCTCACCTCAGCCTCTGACCCCCCCATTGCCCCTACTCCTCCCTGTACACCTGCTCCCTTCGTCTGCATCACCCCTTCTATCCTCGCTCGTCCTCCGGTGGTGGCTTGTCGTTTCTCGAAGCACTCATGGCAATGAGGCTGAGTGTCCACAGAGACGTAGAAGGTGCATCGTGGCGTGGCACACCGGATCTCTATGAGGGACAGTTGGGAGACGGAGAAGGGTGGTGGGCGCTGCGGCTGGGCGGCCCACGCCTGCTCCTTGTCCTCCTGCCAGCGCTGATACTCGTGGTTGACGAGCTGCAGGTAGTCCTCCATCAGGTTCATGTCCTCTGGAAGGTTTCCCTCGTCCAGCCTTTGGACAGTCACAATGGTCTGTTAGCCCTTTGATCCTCAGACACATTACTGGCCAACAAGTAAGAAACTTTCTCAACAATCAAGTTTATAATCTCTGCATACCGAGCAGCTTTCATGATCCACGTAGTGTCATGGCCCAGGCCTATAACAGGGATCTCTATGATGTGCAGGTAGTCGTTGAGAAGCCTCTCTTTCTGCGGCTGCTCCTTCTCCATCAGGAAGTGAACCTTCAGCTCCTCGAAGCCCACTCGTTTCGGGTTGATTAGTGGAACTGCTCGAATCTCTGGACGATCAGTTCAAACCGAGATGTTAGACAAAAAATAAAATAAAATAAATAAAAGAATACAAACATACTAGATCTTTATCCCATGCTGGTTTCCCTTTCGGTGCCCTACCTGGACCGCTGTCTTTGATGGTGATAAGGGGTGCAAAGTGCTGAGAGTCGTAGCCGAGCACTAGTGGATATTTGTAGCAGTCTGTGGACTTCCACTGAAGAGGCAGGTAAATCCCACCCACATTCAGAGGAGAGATGGAGGAGCCAGATTTCATGCTCCTAACCACCTGGTCTGTTGAACAACAAAACAAAACACTAAAGTTTACAACTAAACAGCCCTTTACATCAACAAAGAGACTTCTACGCCTTCGTAGAGCAGAAATCATTACAAGTCTAGCAAGAGGAAATAAAAGAACTTTGAAAGTGATTACCTGCAATGACGATGATGGGTCTGCGGAGAATGTTAGACAGGATGAAGATGTGAATGTCCTCTAGGGAGTCAAACTGGAGGCCGTTGCTACTGGAGACTGGAGATGCCATCTTTACAATCTTATCCCATTCCTCCTCCCAGTTCTAGGACAGCACGCACACGCACACACACGCACACGCACACACACACACACACAGATTAAGAAAGATTAAAGAAAACCAACATAAATGGAAGTATGAGCCAATACTCTGTTTTAAAATGTGCTATAGAGAAAAACATTGACATTTATTTACGAGTTACATGCTTCCTCAAGCGAATGCATCCTTGCCTAAACATCAGTGACCATAAACACGGACGTAGCCAGGTTTTTATACCATGGTTGTGTATCTGAGTCCAGTCTGGGTGAATTCTTGAGACTGCTGCAGCTCTGCCTGGAATCGAGCTTTAAATAGAGCAGTGTCTGTCTCTTTCAGAACACCGTGGAGAGTCTTGCGAAGCACCAGGTCCGTATCCTGGACACCGAGCATGTACTGGGATGCTGCGTGGAGCAAACAGTTCCCATCTCCTGCAGACACACAGAGGAAGGAAGAAAACAAACTTGAGATCTGTTTATAATTGAGAAAGTCCTAAAATTGTGCAAACGCACGGACGGCCGCTGTGTGTGTGTGTGTGTGTGTGTGTGTGTGTGTGTGTGTGTGTGTGTGTGTGTGTGTGTGTGTGTGTGTGTGTGTGTGTGTGTGTGTGTGTGTGTGCGTGTGCGCTAATGTGTAACTAAAGTCTGGGGATTTCCAAGCTGCTCGGCCAATTGTCACGCTATCGGGCCTGATTATTACATATCGTCATTTTATCTAAAAGCACACACCTTCTTCATCTATACACATGCAAGCTTCACCTGAAAGAACTGGGACAATTTGTTTATATTAAGAATTTAATGAGATTATTTGTGTTTAGCATCAAAGAAAGACTTTTTGTAGTTTCTCTAACCGCACAGAAAAGAAGATAAAGAGCCGCTCAAAAGCAACTAAAGGCTTGGAATTTTATTTTGCCTCTTTTTGGCAGTGCTGGGTCTCTTTCTCATTGTGAAACAGGAGAGCCTGTATTTGTTAATGTGAGCTGCTCTGAAATACCCTGCTGTCACCCTAAACACAGGAATTTCCCTCCGCTAACTTCTGCTTTTTTTGTGTACATGTGCGTGTGCGCGCGCGCGTGTGTGTGTGTGTGTGTGTGTGTGTGATCCCTCCTGTGATCCCAACTCATCAATGCTACTCAGCAGGTCCTGTACTTTCCAGAGGCGTGACTTCAACGAGAAGGAATGTTTTCGTGTTTTAACTACTGTTATCATCAGTCGATGAAGGCGGTGATTGATGGACGGTGAGATCATGTGTGCCCTCACAAGTACAAACACAAATCAGACATTCGAGTACTGCAACATGCAAAAATTGACTAAATTTTGTCTAAATTTTTATTTCTAAGTAGCTCAACAGCCCAAAAACATCCATGTTGTTTCTGCGCAGCCATTTTCACATTTAAAGAGGATTTTCCTCATATGCAAGTACCGCTCAAAGGATGCGATTTGAATTTTTAAAGTGGTTCACCTCCACAACAAAGCTTCTAAAAATATGTCTTGCCTTGAGGTGAGCGTCCCGAAGGCCAAGCTGTGAACACTTTTCTAAAATCAACATTTTCTGCACTGCCAGATGACTGTAAAGTGAAATACAGTCGTTTCCACACAACCTAGAAACAAATTTTAAAACATACCACTGAATTTGAACAGAAGAAGAAAAATAACACACTTCTATTCCAGACTAGAAAGCTGTTGTTGCATTTCAGTGCTCTTGCACCACTTAACAAAAACACACAATATGGAGCTCCACCATGAAATAAATAAAGCATATTTTGCAATGACGCAGACACGCACGAATGGTCGCACTCAGACCCACCTCCCCATGTTTACAAGAACACAAATTTTGGACCACAAATTGAGTGAGGTGCCTGGTGACTGAAGATGAAAGACTGTCAGTCGATCCCATCAGTCTAAATATAGGCACTTCCTTTTTTGGCAAGCTGAGGCACTTCCTGCAAAAACACCAGGCCTGGACCAAACATGATCCTTTGTTGTTGCCATCCTGGGGACAGAACAGCTTGAGCCCAGTGATGGGTCAGGCAGCAAATGGTTATAGCCAAAGCAACGTTGCAAAACCTGCTTAATTCTGCTGAAATCCTCTTAAAGATACCATTAAAGGGGTCCTAGAATTTAAAACCACAATTACCTTGTTGTTGTGGAATATAGGCAGCTTGGGGGTGTCTAATGTAGCGTACCAAAATGACTGTGCTGTCTCCGACCTGCTTTCCTATGCACATTAGTAATGTTGTAATTCTGCACTGGCAATATATGGCTGTTATTAGCGATAATTCTACATTTAGAACAATGCTATCCTGAGCTACTGCTAGCACTAGTCTGAGCTACTGCTAACGTCCTTGTTGCAAGAGCAAAAGAACAAAGATCTAATCCCAATACCCACAATTCCACCCTTGTGCTCTTCAATTGTGATACCCCGTCCAGGGTTACGAGAAGGTAGGGTGTCCCGATTCTCAAGCGCAGAATTTGACCACGCCCCTTTTACAAAAATTGACCGCACTTTACCAAAGTCTGCATTGATGCGGACTTCAGCGAAGGGTATTACCCACAAACCATTGCTGCGTAGGAAATTTGAGAAGAAGGTGAAGCAATGGCTCAAGTGCTTTTTCTGAAAATATGTATATTAAAGTAGTTCATTTTAAGACGATTAATGATATTTATTGATGCTTTGAATGTTTTAGACAAAGATTTAATGTAGACAGCAATGAACGGAAATTTTGGCTGGTTGCTTGTTTGAAAGTTGTTAAAGATTTTTAAGTAGCACAGCAACCAGCATTCCGGCATGATGACGCAATGCTCCCTGACCCAATTCAGCAACTTTTCCACAGCTGTTTACTACGCACTCAAAGCCTTACTGCGCACTTCCTCCAAATGCACCTCACAGAAGATTGCTGGGAACAGTGCAACTATTGGGATTGGGCCAAAGAAAAACTGTCAGAGCACAACTGTAACATTGCAGGATGAACTGGGATTATGCAGATTTTGAATGCCATAGAGCCATTGAGGTAAACCGGCCAATCAGCATGCAATCCCATTTAATATTCATGTCCAGGCCAAGTGCATTGGGCAAACTGGTCTTTCCCTTGTAGGGATTTATTTTGGGGTTGTGTTTGGCCGTTTACCAGGGCCCTTTCACCACATGTGCCTCACCAAAGTTTCATCTGTTTTTGTTTAGAACTATTTCTAATTGTAAAAAAAATAAATAAATAATAAATTTTTTAAAGTTTTTCTAGGACCCCTTTAAAGTTGGGGGCAGTTAATTGTGTCTGAACCAGCTTGTGTGAAGGAGACACATGACAGACATGAGATGCTGTTTGGAAAACCCCCGGGGTGTGTTCTAGACAATTTAAAATAAAGACAATTTAAATTTAATCACTACTGGGAGGAAAACAGGAAATAAAACATGGTCATATTTCTTTTGCAGCTGTGGCTCTTTTAGGATTTGGTTAATTGTGTTTATTAACCCTAAAACCTCTGGAGCCTTGAGTTTTTGGTAAACACTCACACAATTGTTTTAGGCAGGGATTTTAGAAGGAAATCAAAGTCCCAGATGATCTCGGAAATTCTCTGATGAACTTCTACTCTGCCACGTTCTCTCGCTGTATGTATGTCTGCTGAGGTCCAGTGACTCAGCATCGGTCAGTCCGGTCCTTTGTGTGTGTGTTTCTGTGTGTGGTGTCCGTCCTCTGCTCAAAGTCACGTCTAGGTCCTTCAGAGTGAGACGGTCCAGGTTTATGTCCATGCTCATGTTTATATCATCAACTTCACAAGCCAGGAAATTCCATTCAAGGTTACCAGCAGTAAAACTAAGAAGTCACCTATTTATGGGGTCTTTCTGAGAAAAACAAACAAAACAAAAAAAACACGGAACAATGCACTGATGAAAGTTGTAGAGACTCATTTTGGTTTTACCAGCTCCAAAAATGACAACGACCAATTGGACACTAAACATCGAACAAGTTCCTCACCCATCCAGTAAGTGTTCAATGTGAACTCTCAAATAAGGTTGTAGGAATTTCACACAATGAGGCAGAAAGAAAAATGTTTCCTCTGAAAAGCCACAGGTTTAGTTCACTTATATTGCAAGTTTATTTCCACTTCCTCGTTTTGTTGTGAATGTTTTACAGCTGTTTATTCCCTTCAAACACTGTTATTTCCCTTTCGACCCTAAATAGATCCAATGTACGCACCAGATGTGTGTGCATTACAGTAAAGACAAAAAGAAGCTATCAGAGAAGTTGGACTTGGTCACATGTGAATAATACATTCACTCAAATCAGGCAGGGGGGGGGGGGGGGCATTTGTGACGTAGTGTCTAACCTACTGACATTTGCGATTCTTACACACTTAAACAGAAAAGATGGGTGCAAATGAATACCATGGAAACACTTGGGTCTGAAACATCAGCAACAGTAAGCAACAGTAAACAACGCTGATGTGTGTGACACCAGTGAAGTTTCCAGTGCTAAGCTGTGATCAGAAGCACTTAAGCAGCTGTGTGGAAGTTTGTCTGCTCTGGGATGTTCCAGAGTTACAACATGAACGTAGCAGAAAACATGACTTAGCGATGCGGCCGCCTGAACTCAAACAGAAAAAAAGAGTGAGGCAGTTAAACGAGCCCGTAGACGAAAATAGAACCAGTATGCCTTGATTGTTGTCATTTACAGTAACCCTGCTTGTGAGTAAGGACATCTCCGAATTTACATGTCAAATAACGATGACTCACAGGTGCATGGCTTCTGGTACTGAAAATGAAACAAAAGCAGCAAAAAACCACATCCAATTTCATAAAGTTCTCACCAGGTTTACCATTTTATAGATTCAAGGTTCTTACCATTGGTGCGCAATGGTACCATCTTCTTCAACTCCCGACACCAGTTGAGCTTCTTCTCCTGCTCCAACGAGGCCTGCATGACTCGGTCCAGGATGGCGTCTTGCACGACCTCCCTGAAGGCCTGGGGGAAGTGGTTCATGGCGATCATCTCCAGCGTGTGGCGGTGCATCGAGTGCAGGTGGTGCACGGGACCGCCACTGGCAGCGGGCTTCACCACGTCGTTGGGCACTCGCTGACGGATCTTCACAGCTTTCAGCAGGTTGGAGACGAAGAGGAATTTGGGGAGGAAGTTCTGACCCTGCGACATGGCGGATGGGCGGCCGGAAAATGGAAGGAAAGGGGAGGAAGAGCGAGGAGGACGTTCAATCAGCGATGATGGAACAACGTGGACACTGGACAAGAGAGAGAACAAAATCTTTTAGTTCACAGCAACAGGAGAATAAATAACCAAATGATGGGGCTGGTGGGAAATTTTCTGTGGAGATTCCCTTTCCTTATTAATGGAGGCTCAAGACAACTTAATTTACAGCTTGATTGGGAAAACACCCACAACCCAGGATTTCACTGGAAGTAAAGTTTGGTGCATTTTTGTTTTAAAGGATATTCTGCCCAACCAAACTGAATTAAACAAAGAATTATTTTATTATTAATGTTCTCTTCCATGTCTTCTTTTCATCTTGATGTTTTTTTTATAAGTCCCCCCCCCCCCCCCCAAAAGGGGGTGTCTGACTGATCTCAAATCCTTCCAGCAATAAACTGGTCTTTTCCAGACTTTTACTGCAGGCTACGAAGCATTTTCCAGACTGCTGTGATGGTCACAAGGCCTTCTCCTTCTTCCAACACCTCACCAGTTATGGGCACAAGTCGAGTCTTCCTTTGAAGGCAACTGTGAGTTTTAATGGAAGGAAACACAAACAAACACAAAACCTGGTGCTTGCCTTTGTAGCTTTTTTAAACAACATTTAAAAGGTACATTTCAACCCAAATGATTTAAAAACAACACAGTGCTAGCTTAGGAGGAAGTCAAAAGCAGTGGTCAGCAAGTGTGCATGAAGTTTGCTGACTTTCTCACTTCCATCAGCATCCTGGTGTTAGCTGACTATGAGTCAGTTGGTACTGCTGGAGTTCACAACCACCTGAGAGCTGAGCTGGTGGCTTTTTGCTCCCCAAACAGCTGCAGGTGCAACAACTGACTAGGCCATGCTAAAGGGAAGCTAGTCAGCCAGGAGACCTGGAGGACAAGAAACCAGACACCTGGTTGTCATGGTGCGAGTGTGGTGTGTAGTAGTGGACGCTGCGGATTTGCATGGCGGGCTACACACACACACACACACACACACACACAATAACAGGAGACATCGCTGACGTTAAAGGCTTACGTAATTGCAATGGCAACTATCTTTAAGACAATGTAGTGCTCCTTCGCGTTTCACGGTTTTGATCCAGCGTCGCGGCGCCGATGGTACATTTGTCCGTTTAAACGCCTCGTTATCCGCTCGAGGGTGACGTCTTTGTAAACAATGGCTGTCAAAGCCACTGTCGTGAGCAGGCTTCCTCCTCCATGTCCCCAGAAACACGACCACACATTACTCCAGGCCCAAACATGGTGTATCTACTCAGTCTGACCGCCTTCGGCGGGGAATGTTGTCCACACGGAGACGTAGAAGAAGGCAGGACGGTTGTCTTACCTGTGTAATATGTCGGGAGGTAGTAACAAAGCCTCCCGGATGCTCAGGCTAGTCCTCTCTCAGCCACTTCACTCAGCGCAGCGCTTCTCGGCGCCATTCAACCTCCTCTTTCCTTCTGTATCAGATCTATTCTGGAGCTCTCGCAGCTCGCGAAGCTTTTCGAAACACCAGACACTCACGTCCGCTAACGCTAGTTTTTTTTTTTTTTTGAGAAAAAAAGTCCAAGTCAAGGGGATTTCCACGCAGGGACTTTCCGTTCACCCATTTTCCTCCCTCTCTCAGTCACAACCTGGTGCAGTAGGGGCCCGCGGCCGCTAGGGGGCTCTTCTCTGACTGACTCAGTACTGAAAAGCATATCCCACCTACTGAGCACAAAGGAGCGTCACTCTGTTTCATGAAACAGCCTTAGAAATAAATCATTAACCCTGAAAAAGACTAACCTCAGCGAATAAGTCAGGAATACGAAAGACAAACACGCGAGAAGCAGATTTTTAAAGTGTTTACAACAGACTGTTGTTTGGACTCCTGACATGAATATGGGCTTTCTGCAACACACAAGTCCCAGTATCACTCTTCTCTTTTATTCAGCGTTTTATGCTTAATAAACTCCTGTTTTGTTGTAATTTTGTTCTGAACACAAATGCACAACAGGTGGGTGTCTAGAGGGGGGCCTGGGGGAGGCGAGGGGGGAGAGGCACAGACAGGCCCCCTTGCATAAAAGACTGGCCACCCCAGGTGCCACCCCAGAAACTGAGACAGTAAAACATCTAGTGCATATAATCAATAAAAATCTAAAACATATAAACAATATCAAATCAAAGGTGAGATGGCATGGTGTTTACTGTTTTAGTATGTTTTGCATTAAATTGAGCTTAGTTAATGCTCCAAAGTATTTCAGAAATTCAGATGACGAGACTATTGGGTTCAAACAAAACAACAAACCATTCTGTTTCTTGTTGAGGTACATTTTTTCATTGATGCTATGTTTTAAAGCTCATCTATTTATGTTGTTAGGTGAAAAATATTTAAATAATTACAAATAAACAAAAAGTAAAAATGCACTAAAACGCTAGTCTGGAAATGATATCTCCTACTGTGCAAAGACCTAGTCTGGATGTCCTGCAGACGTGGTCTGGACTAACAGACTTAAGGATCTGCACATCCATGTGACATTTGTTTGCAGGGCTACTTAATCCAAAGTGCGTCCTCCTCTCTTTTCTAAAATAATTCTGACTTTACAATGTCAGGGAAAGTCCCAATGTTATTATAATAAATGTATGCATTCATTAACGGAAAAGTGTCAGATAATTATTGATAAAAGTGCACCATGTTTGTGCTTTGGCTTTATTTTAGTTTATAGTAGCCAATTAGATCATGATCAACGCTTAGTAATTTAGCAAAAAAATATGAAGTTTTGTTTCAAAGTTATGAGCCGTTTACAACTGCCACCCTTATCTATATATGTGCCACCCCCCAAAATAAATTCTAGACATGCCACTGATGCACAAACCACATGTACTGACAAGACTTGAAAAATAATAAAATTGCAGATGTGGAAAAACATCTCAAACATGAATGTAACTTTTTATGATAAAACTGCATTTATTTATATCTGTTGTGAATTTTATTAAGATAACCCTTTGTGTAAAACATGTAAAAGATGAAAGACTGTGAGCTATTATGTAATAATAATAATAATAACAGCAATAATAATCATATATATTCTACCCACACTACACATGTGGGGTTACAAAGAAAGAAATTGTGAATTCAAATGACTTATTTTGGCATTTCAAATCAACTATATCAAACTCAAGCATCATATTTATTTGCAAATACTTGGAGAAATTAGCCGCAGCATCCAGACGGTGTAGAGAGTAAAACAGTTACTTATGCTTATGTTTAATCCCACGCTCTTTTCAGCACCTTTTGGTCATGGTGGTTTACAAACTGCTGCCACAGACTGAAGCAGAGCCCTCCAACGGTCGTAACAGTGGTCTACCAGTCTGACAGCTACTGTGCTTTTGTTGCAGCTATCAGACTTCTGATGGTGATGGGAGGAACAGAAAGATGATTTAACATCTGAATGGCCTGAATAGAGAAATACCACTCACCTCTTTGATTGAGTTCATGACAGAAATTTAGTTTGTGTCGTTTGCGTTTGTTCCTATCGGGATCAAATTTACAGTTTGTTCAAAACATTTAGAGAAAATTACCATTATTTCAGTTTCTTAGGTCATTTTCATTTTTTATTTTTATAACCCCCCCCCCCCCCCCCCCCCCCAGTTATTTTCAAAAGAAAATTTGACTGAAAGTTTTTTGTGCCTTGTTTTATGGATGTTTTGCTTAATGTTTGTATCCAGCCAATGATATTTGATATTGCTTGTATATTAATTTATTCACCGTCCACTGAATTTGCTTTTTTCAGCAAATATATAGGCCTATCTATGCTATACATACAAATATGGATTTTCTACATGATAATCCTTTAAGCAGTATTTGATTTGCATAAACTGTTCTGCATCAAGCCTTAGAATAAAGCTCCACAGATCAAAACAAGAGAAATAGAAGACGCGTATCTCAGCTGAAAATTAAAGTGCTTCAAAATAAAAAATATCATTCACACATTAAATCACACACTCCAAAAAATTGGTCAACTCACCAGTAAAGTTGATTTTAGCTTAAATCTTAAAGACACAAGCAAACCGTGAGGTTTTAGCTACCTGCTGTCATCCCATGCTGCCACCCCCCTGCTGACTCACTGCTCCCCTTTCCATTTTCCTTTCTCTTCCCTGTGGAACGCCTCCTAGTTCCCTGTTCGGCTGGCCAAACACCACAGTTCTGTTTCCTCCCTACTCACACAGGGAATAGAAACCTAAGAAACATAATCACCTGACAAATAATTCTGGAATTATTCACTGAATTTGACATTAAATCCCCAACCACTATATTCCAGATTTGATATTTAGCACATTTTCTAATCAATGCCTGGATTGTATTTAGAAATGTTTGTGTTTGTAATGGTAATAATGTACAAAACTTTCACACATGTTTAGAGGGTTTGTCACTTGGTCACGTTTGACTGAGTCAGGCTTGAATGATGAATGCAAGCTGGTTATGGGAGCTATTAAATAAAAGCAGCACAGTCACAAGCAGATTATGGAAACTCCCCAGAAAAGACAAATGACCCACTGGTGTGCTCAAGCCAGTAACTGGTTGGTCACAAAAAAGTTTTAAAAAATAAATCACATTTTTCTGTGGTGGAAAAAGGAAATGCTTGGAATTGAATCAAGTCATGGGTGAAGTTTCATTTAATATTGTTTAAAACAAGAGCACAAACAGGCTGAAAACATCAAAATCCTGTTTAAAGGGATACTTTTTTTATATTTTCACATCATTTTTTGAGCCAGTATGTGCTCAAATGACCCTTAAAGGCTACCCAGCCTCTATCGCCCCCTGTGGTCAGAATGTTCCACTTGCAAATTTAGACTGGTGGCCGTTTTGTTGGGACTTAGAAAAAATCGAGCTGACATACCTGGTGCTGCAGTCTGGTTCCAGCATTTCAGCTGTTAGATTAAGGCGTTCAAAAGACAAACGCACAGCGAGGAGATACGTTTGCTTTCTGTTCTACAAGCAAACACTAGGGGGTACTAAAAGCAAACCAAAACAGCCTAGTTCCCCTTTAAATGTTAAAAAAGCTTTAATAGTTTTAAAACAATACGAAGTAAAACTCTACATTCTCTTAATTTAAGATATTTTACCAACACAGCTACAATTTTCATAAAAACAGTCATATAATAATGTTCTGAAATGTATTATCAGACCAATTTATTTTGAAATTTATTCAGAAATTAGAATAAGCATTTTTCTTTTTTCCTCCATTCGCTTTTATTTTGCAGGTACGATACAACGTTTTTATTTTTGCAACATTTTGAACACATGAGAAGATTCGTGCTGAAGCCAACAATCTGAATATTTCCATCCTGACAGCAAAGTAAGTGCCAGTGACACGTTTCACAACTTTAACTTCCTTCCTGAATTACAACACTTTTATAAGTTACACGCATGCATTCTCATTTATCTATGGTTTTATTATAAAGTACGCAAAATTATCAAATCCTCAAATATGGCGTCTGTGACTTGTTGAGTTTTCACAAAAAATGACTTAATATGTCAGATATTTGGTTCTATATTCTGACTTGTTGAATGTTTTACAGAACTCACTTTTGGCCACCATTAAAAAAATATCACATGGCAGTATTTTCTCCTCAGTCCGCCAAAGAGCCACATTTGTTACAGGACCTTTTAAAAAAGACTATTTATAACTGGCATATAGAGGACTAAGAAAATGAAGGATTTAAATTTTTTAGGATTCTGAAACAAAAAATATGTCAGAAATCTGAAGTCCAGATTCTGTATTCAAAAATATTTTCTCTCCCGTAAATATCTACTAGAAGAAGTTTGTTGTCATTTTTTAAACCATATTTTAAAATAAAATATTTTTTTTTTAATTAAGGGGAAAAATGGCTATGTTTTCTTTTGGATGTTGATATTTTCAGAAAATTATGTAAATAAATGTAAATAAACTTATCCAAATATTTCACTGGTACTTTCAGTGTCATTTTGTTATGGAAATTCAATAAAATTATTCCATAACCAAACTGAAATTGTGTGAAACTTGCATTTTATTTGTCTACATTCATATTTATAGACATCAGTGTTTTTTTTATTTTTTATAATTTTGCCAAATTTTTGTTGTGAAAATGCCAGAGTGCCACTTGTGGCTCCAGAGCCGCAGATTGCAGACCCTCAGTTTGATCCTTTAATTTCTTTTGTGTTTTCCTCATAATATAGACAAGTGATTCCCAGCATTTTGAAATAAAAGTCCCAGAGAACCAAAAATATTTCTAGTTGAATCAGCAAATGAGCCATTAGGTTTACTTATTTTTACCTATTGGTTGCAACGATTTTTGATCTTTTTGTAACAGATAAACCAAAATAAATCAGAGGTTAATAAGATGTGTGTGGCTCCAACTTCTATTAGGGTTTAAATATGATGCTTGAAAAGCGCCAGACAAACAGTTTCTGACCAAGATCATCATTAAAGCTAAATTTTTGGGATTTTCTGGGAGATGTAAGAATGAACATTAATAAGGGAAGAGTTGAAGGTGACAAAGGACTGCCACATGCCTGCTTATTTGACAGTTTTTGAAGGTTTAGGAATGTTCTTTGCAACAAAATGTTGCATAATTAAGTTTGTGGCAAAGCCTTTGTTGGAGCTGCAGCTGCAGAGACTGATTGTGCTCAAGAATCCTCAAACCAGAACAACTTCTCGAGTGAAGAGAATGAACCAAACCCACTTTTATTCAAAACTTCAATACCTTTAAATTTTCCCTTCATTGGAATTGTTAAGGTCTTCATCAAATTGTTTTCTGACTGATCATAACCCTCACATCATAAAACTGGGTTAAAAGTTGAGATTATCTTTATTTCCTGTGTGACTGACACTTCTCTACTTGAAGCAGGCTGCTTAGTAAACAGCTGCAGCATGCAGCTGCTCCATAACATCCAGAATGCACTCTGATTACATCCTCCTCTAACACATCATGCTCCTCTTTCTTTAGATGCAGACGTCCGATTGTTTTTAAATGACCATTAAACCCGTTGGCTTTTCACATCCATCTGCTGGTAATCCAGGTACTTTACATAAATCTGAGCCTCATAAAGCATACCAACATAAGTCGTCTGGAGTCATATGTCTCTGGTGTTCTGACAGTGTGGCCAGTCCCCCAGAGTGACTTCTGAACACAGATTGTTCCATCAGAGCCCCAAAAAGCCTCGGAGCCCGGTACCGGTATGATGTGGCAGGACAGTGGGGAGAATCCTGGGGAGGACTGTGAGGAGGAACATCTCAATGTTCTTCTGGCTCGTCCACTCACTGGAAAGCACCTTGGAGGCAGATCGAAACCAGCCCCCCACAAAAGAAAAGTACTTGACACAGCTTTGTGTAATGGAGGGGGGGTTAAAGCTGACAATGACTTTTTAATTGATTATCTAATTTTTTGGAGGGGGTACATATTTAAAAAAAGGGGAATTAAATGTTCAAATGACCTGACGTGAAGAGGACATTTCTGCTGAAAAGGTGAAGGATGAAGAGTTAAAACGTGGCTCAAGCCTGACCTCTAGTGGCAGCCGTCTTTCACACAAGAGGTCAACAGGGGGCCAAAAGCTGGAGGAATCGCCTGATGTTAAAATACTTTTATTTCTAAATTTAAATAGTTTTTTGTAAAATGTTTTTACTTTGAAGATCAAGACAGCATGGAATGATACAGTCACATAATTTATAGGCAACATTTACAAACATAAATACTTACACATGTTTTCTTTCATTTCAAGGTGAAAAACTGACAAAAGTGCATCATAACGAGAGTCATTATTACTAGGGCCGTCAATTTCACACCAGTGATGGTTAAAACACAACTTATTTAAATATACATGTACATGCTACAAAAAAATCAGATAACAATCTCAACACATGTAGGTAAGAGTTCTTCAGGCTATTGAAGATTCATGCTGAAGCCCTTGGCCACAGGTACTTGCATCCAGGTAGTAGCAACCTGATCTCAGCATGAAGAGGGTGAGCCGAATCTGTCAGGATCAGTCTGGCCCGTTTTCACTGATCCTTGTGCACATCAGTGAGGCCATGGATGTAGTTTTGACTTTAGAAGTGGGAGTGGGACACAACAGGCATGATGACCAGTAAGTATACAAAATTATGTCTAAAACTACAGCCTAGAGGCACTTTAACACAATGTCAGAAATGCAGAACTGTGAAGTATTTTACCATTTTACAATTTACATCAGATTCTAGCTGAACTCTTAGTCCTAGTTCTCAACCAGCCTATTTAATATAACGAAATATTGTTTTTGGACGGTTAAAAAGTGCAGGGGACAAAAATTGACCCCCCCCCCCCCCACCACCACCACCACCACACACACACACACACAAATTACACCCATGAGTGAGGCTGTGCCAGCAGTTTCGGACGATCCCCAACGGCCTGATTCTGTTCTCACAAGAGTCGAAGCCAACATATGGGGTTTAAAGTTAATTCAGACCTAATTGAACAATCTCATAACAGTAAGCTCTACATTTGAAACCACAGAGCTTCTGATAAAAGCAGAAATGCTTCTTACAAAGTGAGTTTGTGTGGGGGGGTTCAAAGGTCAGCCTGTCATCCAAGAACAGTCTCCAGGTTTCTTTGTTTACATTTCAACCTGTTCCCCAGAGATCAGAATGGGCTGGCTGTGCTTTTTTTTTTCCCTAAAAAATCAATGATCATGGGTTTGGTTTAGAAACATACTTAAAAAAAGTTAGATTGACCGGAGAAATTATTGACTACTGGTCCATGATCAGGGTTGGCACTGTTGAGGAGGGACAGGATGGCACGCCAGGTTTCGTAACGCGAAGATACCGGTAATACTACATAGTCGTTCATTTGACAGTAGTTTTTACTACGGAGTATTTGGGCCAAGGTGCCGACGAGTTGAGTTGATGTTGCAGCTTGAGAACTGAACACATTTCCGTTTGCTTTTCACCAACAGTCTGTTTCCATTCACACCTCGCTTGTCATCATCTTGCCTCGGTGACTCTCCTGCACTCAGTTCTCTCCCCCACCCTCTTCTCTAGAGAAACCGAGCCTGCTGGGAAACGCTGAGCCAAACTTTAATTGTCACTCAGTCTTCTCTCCCAGGGTGGAGCTCAGTGGGTGTGTGCCTGACATAAGCCATGACTCTGCTTTGTGCATTCCTGTGCCGTTTATCATCCGTTCCTTTAGTCTGATGGGTGTACGAGGCTCCGCGCCAAGAGGACAAACAGAAACAGACCCAGGAACATCATTTGCATAGAGATCTGCAGAACTTTATCTTCTGTATTCCTGCTTGTCAGCATGTGGGAATGGACCATTTTTCTGCACTTTTTGGGCCAGTTTTCAAACAGAATCACCGCAAGTTCAAAAAAGACGTTTTTATTGCATAAAAATACACAAACTACCACAAATAGTTCATATAACAGCAGAAAAAATACAGCTGAGTGTTTCCCCAAGTAGATTTCTCTTTAGTACAGCAATGCTTTAATGCTTTACAGCAAAACTTTTATTTCTATCAGATAAAAATATAAACGTTCAACACTTAAACGCTGGTTTACTGATTTTTGGCAACTCGACAGCAATAACTGTTTGAAATCTATTCCTAGTCATTTGAAATCTTTTCATCTATTTAGAGTTCAGAGGAATAACCCGATCATGTTTGGGCAGGAGCTGGTTTAGACATGAACAGAGTCCCTGAAACCAGTTCCACCAGTTGGATTTAAGGTTTAAACAAAAACAGAGGAAGTTAAGGCACAACTTAACGGACGATTATCAGACACTGGTCTGCGTCTCTTCATCAAACCCGCAATGCATTTAAAAAAAATCTGATTCCTCTTTTTTTTGTCACTAATAAAGCTTTAACCTAAATGAAATATGGTCAAACAAATGCATATTAACACGTACCTGCTAAGATACAATTTAAAAACCAAATAAACCAACTGATGGAGTTCCTTTTCAACCAGATTTCAAAAAGGCAGCTTAAATAAGCTTGAACCACACTTAAGTAATTTGCTAGAAATAATACAAGAAGTTATTGTTAGTAATTAAAGGGGAAAAAATACATTACCTCAAAAAGGTTTGAGTGATTTTTAGATTTTAGCCCTGTTTTTATAGAACCGAAACACCCATCACAAAGAACACACGAATCACACTGACTTTACCTCCGAACACACAACACATTCCCCAGATATACTACTTTAGTAATATAAGAATATTTTTTAAAATTCCAGACAAAAAGAAGTTTTTGAAAATTCATAAAAGGTGCATGAATAGTTTACATTCAGCCTTTCCAAGCATTTCCCTTCGCATAATGCAACACGTGGAGTTAATGAAAAACTTAGCACACAGGACGATTTAGGATTCATGTATATGTCCTGTAAAAAAATCTAACAGCTTACAGAAATTAGCCTTTTACCTCAGTTAGGGTGAGTGCACTTGGTGCATTGGGAAAAGATTTAGGTAAAACAAACAAAAAAAAAGTTTGGTTTAAAAAAAGAGAAGTTTTTAAGACTCGATCTAAAATAGAGTTCCAAAGGTGGACATGACTGTAATGGGGCAGGTCTTTACTTAGACTCGTAGATGTATTTGATCTTTTGCTCTCCAACTATTTCGTTCTCCCATCTGGGCAGACAGAAGAAGATGAGGGAGAGGCCGATGCACAGGATGGTGGCTCCCCAGCCGAACCCGTACGCCCAGGTGTAGTAATAGCTGCCCTCGTAGATGAGGTCGTTGAAGTTGACGGGGTAAACGATCAGAGCGATGATTTGGATAATCGCTGCAGAGACGGAGGACACGAAAGGTGTACACTTCTCAAATACAGCACAGATAATAAAAACCAGACTTACTTTCGTTTTGAAAACACACAACATTTATATATATATATATATATATATATATATATATATATATATATATATATATATATATATATACATATATAATAAATTTCTAAAACAAAAAAAATGAATAACATCCTTCTTGGTCCAGTTTGGAACACACACAGTCCCGATCCCGACCCTTTAGCAGCAGCCTGTGGGAAATGCCTTCACAAGACTGTGTAAGTCGCACCAACACCTCAGAATCTGTGGGATTCCTTCCCCTGACCACTTCTGCCCCCGTGCAAATCGTTCTCCGATTAATAATAAACCCTCCACAGAGTACTTAACTCCATCTCAGGCTGAACCTTTATATTCCTGAGATGTTTTGGAGAATCAGAAAAGTGATTTCTTGGTTTCCAGTTAAATAAAACCGGTTTACAGTTGATGCCACAGACGTGTCTGCGGCTGCCTGCCCTGCCCGTGATAGGCTGTGTAATTATGCATGTTGTCTTCTGTTCAAATGAGATCAGAAAAACAGTCAGATACACCTCTTTCCCACTGTGGCTCCTTAAATTATAAAAATCTTCCCTTTTGTGGAGTTTTCATCTACTTTGTTTCCACCAACCTTAAATATTTTGCCTTCACCCATTCGATAAACTTTGCTTTCCTTCCTGACCTAACACCCACACTTACTGTTGAGCACATTCCCAAAACAATGAGGCTCTTGGCTATTTTAGGTCCTTCCACAAGGAAAACATCCTCAGATTCTTTCTCTGTCCAACACAGCAGAAACTTTAAAATCCTCCCAAATAAAAGGTTTTGGTTTTAGTCATACCAGGTGACTGGAAAACAGCTCAACACTCTCTAAACTCAATAAGGCATGACTGTGAATCTGGAATTTGCTGAATGATTTTGAGAAACCCAAGTATTTTTCCTTTTTCTTTTTAAACAGAATCATTACTATCCGAGCACATGCTTGGAAATTACGTTTAGAACACAATACTTTTGTAAACACCTGGGGCCTCATTTATCAAGCTTGCTTACGCACAAAACGGGGTCGGAAAACGGCATAAGCAACTTTTCATGCAAACTTTGGGATTTATGAAAGAAAACTTAGCGGAAAAATGTGCGCAACTTTAAGTTGACTAAGGACCTGGCTTACGCACATGTCGGACATGAGAGCACCTGCAGTGCTGCTGCTGAGAAGGATAAAATTATGAAATCCTGCAGCATTATCACTTGTACTGCTTCGTTTTCACACAGAACAAGACCCCCTACACGCGCGCACACACACACACACACACACACACACACACACACACACACACGCACACACGCACACATATACATACATACACACACACAGACACACACTCACACAGCCTGAAGCCAGAATACAGAATGCAGAATATCAGCAGGGGGACAGATTGAGACAGAATGCCATGCGTCTGTGACAGTGTGTGTGTCCTGTCACTGTGACCTGATTGATCATGCACCCTGGCTACTTGTACAGGGGAGATCTCCGTTTGGCTGACTGGTTAGCGCGCACGACTTTCACTCGGGAGTCTGGGGATCGAATCACGATCAGATCTTTTTTTTTTATATCCGTCATGTATCTCTCTGAAGAACTCAGCATTGACGGCTTCAGCAATGCTGTGCCACTCCGGATTTTCTCTTATTTGTTTTGCAAAAGCACTTCCTTTCATTTCTCCACCTCACCCACAGGTACCTCAGTTTCTGCTTGTGAAATAGTGCTTCCTTGATTTACGGTCGTGATCGAAATGCTGCAACAAGCCGGCTTATGTACATGCATGAGATCCACAAGGCACTTTGCGTTGACTATTTATGGCAGTAAGTGGGTGTGGTGAGGGCGGGATGTGACTAAAAAGCAACCGAGAACCTTTCTTGTTAGTCTCGGATTTATGAAGCAGAGATTGCGTGCAGCTGTGCGTACTCCATGTTTGATTGATCACAAACCTAATTGGCGTAAGTACATTTCTGTTGCTGAGCTTAAGTACGGTTTTAGTAAGGACTCTACGCAATGTTTGATAAATGAGAGTGAGACCCCAGGAGGTTTGAATGAAATGAAATGAAACAGATGTACTTCGACTTTGAAGAAATGTCTTTCATATGAATTATATTTCAAATAAAAATGAGTCTGTTGCAGATCTTTAAAGCAAACAGGACCCTGTCACAATGAGACCAGAAGTCGGATAATCTGTTTTAGGAAAGGTGATTTGATTAATGCTCTTTGTGTTTTTAGCTTCTTGAGAAAATCTCAGCCCAGGTTCAAACCAGTAGTATCAGTTTTATCATGTAAACAGTGTTTGTATTTGTTTATGTCTGTGTGAGTGTGTGTGTTGCTTACCAACGATGAGTAGAAGTATTCCAATGGGAATAAAAAGTCCAGTTCTGAGTTGGCCACACAAAGACATGAAGGAGAAGATAAGGCAAAGAATGAGGAGCAGGAAGCCAATGATCATCAGAGCAGCCACAGCGATCGCCCAAGCTGGAGTCACAAAAATAGGTGTATATTTATTTATTCTCTTTTTATTTAATACATAGTGTCACACAAACTGAAATAAAACATTTAAAGTGATAGCGTGTATTTTCCCAGGCGATAGGGGGCAGTACACACCTAAATTGTTCGTGTTCGAGTAAGACCTTACCAACGGATGGCCATTAGGGTCAAAAATAAACCTCTAACAAAATGACAAGCACACCAGAGTGAAGAGGTAAATGTGTAAATCAAAACATTTGTTATTGGTGAAAGTTTTGTAACCATTTGTTACAAATCAGTAAATGTGTTTTGTCCTCACGGACTTCCGTAGAAGGAAACATGGCATCCAAAATGGCATCGCCCACAGACTTAGACCTGCTCCCATGTATTTTAGACCAGATTTTTATGGTTACATGTTATGAAATTGCCAATATTTCTCAACAACTGGGAATCTTTTAATTCATTTACAACAACAGTTTGACGGATATTTCCAGAGATTAATGGTAAAAACTACACGTTGTCACTTTAAACGGTCACAAGTTTACAATATGATCTCATGACAATAAAGTGTATGACCACTGATGATGTAAACAAAATGGCCTGTATTAGATATAGCACCTTCTAGAGTCCTGGAACCCCCCAAGGCGCTTTACAACACAATCAGTCATTCACCCATTCACATACACATTCACACACTGGTGGGGATGAGCTACGATGTAGCCACAGCTGCCCTGGGGCGCACTGACAGAGGCGGGGCTGCCGAGCACTGACGCCACCGGCCCCTCCGACCAACACCAGCAGGCAACGTGGGTTAAGTGTCTTGCCCAAGGACACAACGACAGACTGAGCGGGGCTCGAACCTGCAACCTTCGGATTACGGGGCGAGCACTTAACTCCTGTGCCACCGTTGCCCAAACAAAACCAGAAGCTACTTTAATTTCAGATTTTCTCTCTAAATCTGCATGTGTATACGGTTTCTTTATTATGGTTTCAAAACGAGGAACACCTGAGCTCTTACTGCGCCCTGAGTCTTACCTGTCAGGTTATGTTCCGACCCTCCTAAAACACTTCGTAAAGTTATATAATTTCAGACACAGATGCCTTTCTTGCTTTTTTGCAGACATGAACGTGTTTGTAGGAATTGTATTTATTTATTTGATTGTTTACTTTTGTGCCCAAATTGAGCATTTGATAAGGATACAGATATTTTTATATATTTTATGTCCAATCAAATACCAAGGAAAGTAAATGTTATTGATGCAAATCTCTCTTTATTCTTCCTGTACTCATATTTTTTGTCATTATGCTTTTCTAAAATGGACCTAACAGAGATGTGAATTCAATTATGCAAGTGAATCCACCCCTAACTTTAATTCGGACTGTTGTCTTTAATTGTCATTGCTGCTCTGCAACACTTTCCCACTGCTACCTGAATGAACTCTTTGAGAAAGGTGAAGAGAACAATATTTGTTTTGGAAACTAAAAGGAGCCCCACCCTGAAAAACACCTCATCTCAGCAGGAAGCTGGTTAAGCTCTGACTGTGATGACATCCATAAGCACCTCTCATCTCCAGAATGTGATCTAAACATCAACTCTTATTTTAAAATCATCTCAAAGTGAATTTTAATGTCAAAGTTTAAGACTGAAAGAGGATCAGTCACTGACTAACGCTGATGAACACTAACAGTTTAAGCTCGACCCACTTTGGCTGTCGCTGAAACGGTCCACGCCTCTAAATTATTCACAGCCATGTTCCTGTTCTGGTAACATCTGACCTGCCTCAGCCTGAGGCTTTGTTCCTCCTGTACGCAGCAGACTGGTTCCACTGGTTTCATCTTCTAGAACAAGACGATGTTTAAATGCACAGTGCACACAAACTTCTTGACAACAGTTTCTCTTTCCGCTGTTGTGTCAAGATTCAGGAAACTGAATTCTGACTTCAACTTGTGTTCATAAAAAAAGAAAGGTTTAATTGTTTTCATTATCTTCAACATCACTAAATAAATGATCTGCTGCTTTCCAGTATGTTTTTGTTCTGGTTAAGAAGCTCTGTTTGGAGATTATTTGTGATTTAAGACAATTGTTTCTCCTCTGACATGCTGCAGGTAAAATTGCATCTTTTTTGTCATTTAGTTATTAAATAAAAGCACAGCAGAAATACTTAGAAAGCTAAAGTTGTTTCTGTACAGCATTTAGTTTACTGATAACTAAAAATAGCATATTTTTTATATTCAGATACTGTGGAAAAAAGGTTAAAAAAAAGAATTCTGACTTTTTTCTCAAATGTTAAAAAAAAAGTCAGAACTCTGAGATTAAAATTACTAGACAGTTTTTGCTTACTTTTAGCACCCCCTAGTGTCTGTTTGTAGAACCAAAGATCTCATCGCTGTGCATTCATCTTTTTAACGCTTTAATCTAACAGCTGAAATGTCTCCCCCCAGCCTTCCTTAGTGTCTACAGGAGGGATGTATTACTAAATTAATCAAATCAGCTGTGTGCATGATCTAAAACATGCAGGAAATGTGCTGGAACCAGACTGCAGCACCAGGATGTCAGCTCCATTTTTTCTAAGTACCAACAGAGCTGCGCACCAGTCTAAAGTTGCAAGTGGAATATTCTGGCCACAGGAGGCGACAGAGGCTGGGTGGCCTTTCATTAACCCTGTAAAGGATCACTTGAGTACATACTGGCTCAAGAAAATTATTTAAAATATGAAAAAGTTGCAAAGTATCCCTTTAAAGTCAGCATTATTATTCCTTTCCAGTGGCCCCAATCCTCTTCTGTACAGGTTCAAATTTATAATACTGAAGTGGATTTCATTATTTTTGTGCAAATGATGATAATTTAGAAATCAGCAAATGTAATCCCAAAGATTTTTTTTACTTAACTCTATATCTAAAGGTGTCTGTTAGCGCTATAACTAGATGTAGACCGATATGTCAGTCATTTATCAGGCCAATATTTACTGTTTATAGTATATATCAGCATCAGCCAACATCTTACATTAGTAAAGCTGATTTACAGTCAGGCACATTTTCGGGCAACTTGATATGCCAAATTTAGTTTAAATTTTACGTTCATCAATAACATCTGCATAATAAATACTCTAACTTTATTTAGGTGTTTGACTTTAACACTGAGCAGTGCACAAAGCAAAGATTTGACAGTTTGTTAAATTCAGAGTTCAAAAACCGATTCAGCTTTAGAAATTTTGTGCATCAACTGATGTTATTAGTGATATTTTTGTGTAAAAAGGGTGGCAAATGTTTAGAGATCAGCCATGATAACCAGCATTATATATCAGCTCCTCCGACATTTCAGATTCAGTAATGAAAGGACCAATATCAGTCTACCTCTAGCTATAATCGTATACCATCCAGCTGCTCAACATCTGTTTTCTCGAGATCAAACATGGAAGGATTACACACTTCTCCCACACCTTTACTTAATAATTTCATCTGCTCCACCCAGGAGTCTCCTAATATTTATGAGATCATTTATTTCAACTATTAGGCAACACAGTTTAATGTAATATGGTTATTTTGTTTGCCAAATGACATTTCAATTTAAAAAAAAAAACTTCGAGTTTCTTAGAAATGATCTTCCACCTTAAATTATGTCAACAGTTTTTTGCTGTCAGGAGCACATGCATGCTAATGTTCTTGCAGTCTGAGTAAAAAACATTTATTTTATGATATCTGGTGCAAAACCTTTCAACATCATTTTGGCTTCAGCCTGTTTAAAGTCTGTCAGTAAGTTTAAAGAAAATCATCATGTCTGGTCTTGAAACTGTTCACTTTGCCTCGCAGCAGAAAGTGAGGAGAGGAAAAAAAACTTGCTTTTGAAATTACTTTGCAAGTCTCACAGTTTCAGGTAATGTGCACCAACTGAACTATAGTTCTACAAACATCTGATGCTCAAACTTGGCCAAACGACTTAAATGGAAAAAAAATGTCAAAAACTGGCAAATTCAACTATTTTGCACCTGTTTATTCCTGTATTTGTGCTTTAAAATCTGCGTTTAATCTTTTATCTGATTTATGCAGATCTAGTTACAATTAACCCTCCCACCGTCCTAACGGGTGTGGCCCCGCGAGGAAAGTGGACCATTGAGCAGTATTGATGGTTTATCGCTTGGGTCCATGTGGCAGGGGTGAGGAGTGAGCACCACCTCACCCCTGCCACATGGACCTCAAGGGATAAACCATCAATCCTGCTCAATGGTCCACTTTCCTCGCGGGGTCACCCATAAAGACAGTGGGAGGGTTAAACAGCTACAGATCCGTTGGGGACAGCCAGTGCCAAATATCATGTTTGGATAGTTTCTGATGACACACAGATAATAAAACATGAATGTATGTTTGTTATTGCTGTCCAGAGAGCAGTTGCAGTTGTTGTGCAGCCTCCTTCCATCTGAACGAAACAGTTCACACACACACACGTGCGCGTGTGTGTTTGTTTCCCTGGTTTTTACAAAGTTCTCACAAGTATGCAAGCCACAGAAACCTCAGGGAATATCTATCTCTTATCCAGCTAGTGTGCTTCTGGCAGCTGTTGTAACCTTTTGTTGGATGGCTTTCAGGCCTGCCGAGGCAGAAGAATCCGGCTTAAACAGCAGTAAAGTCCAACTCTGACTCACAAACCATGAGGGTGCATGACACCAGCACAGAGGCAGCATGGGAACTAAAAAACAAATATGTGTTTTAATCAGTGTTTAGTGGAAACTGATAAAGATGTTTGGATTCTCCGCTGCTGCTGCTGCTGCTGCTGCTGTGAGAAAGCCGACTGCTAAACTATCGGAACTATGACAGCAGCTAGAGTGTTTTCATTTTGTCTGACAGTCAACCAATTAGTTTGAGTACAAAACACGGAGCAGAGCAAACGTCCCTCGAGAATTCGTTATATTTATTCTGTCCAAAGTCTTAAATGCTAAATTAAATAGATAAAAAGTGAATTAGATTATATTTTCACACTACAATACAGAAATTAGAGATCTTTTTGCTCAATAATTAAGAACTGCCTGTCTCATAAATGATGCATCCTGTTATTTTGAGGTTATGGGTTATTAGGATGTTCCAATCACGCTTTTTTGCTCCCGATCCAATTCCGAGTCATTTGATTAAGAATCTGCTGATACGGAGTCCCAATCCAATACTTTAGAAATGCATTAAGAAAAAAGGAAACACACTCAAAGGATTCCAAGGAATCTCCTACCATCTTTATGCAGATGACATCCAACTGTACATCTCCTTTAAGTCCCATGAGATGTCTAAGCTGCAGCTTTTACACACCTGCTTAGACTCTATCAAAACCTGGATGGCTGGGAGCTTTCTTCAGCTGAATGAAGATAAGACTGAGATCCTCATCTGTGCCCCAGACAAGCTGGTTCCCAAAGTCAGAGACTCTCTTGGTCAGCTTGCTTCTCACACCAAACCTTCCGTCAGGAATCTTGGCGTGACCTTTGACCCTGCTCTCACCCTGGATTCTCATGTCAGTTCTCTTGTTTGCTCTTCCTTCTTCCATCTCAGGAACATTGCTAAGCTGAGTCCAATTCTGTCCCGCTCTGAACTTGAGACAGTTCTCCACACCTTCATCTCCTCACGCCACTGTAGCTCTCTTTTCATGTGTCTGAGCAGAACCTCCCTGAACCATCTACAGGTGGTTCAGAATGCCGGTGCTCGGCTTCTGACCAAGTCCTCCAAACACACCCACATCACCCCGCTTCTCCTCCAGCTTCACTGGCTGCCTGTCAACTCCAGGGTTCATTTCAAGATCCTGGTTCTGGTCTATAGGGCCTTACATGGACAAGCACCATCTCACATTGGTGATCTTCTTAGTCCCTACACCTCCAGCAGGTCCCTGAGGTCCAGTGATCAAAGCCTACTGGTTGTGCAGCACCAGGCTAAAGACCAAAGGTGACAGATCATTTGCTGCTGTGGCTCCCAGACTCTGGAACTCTCTCCTCCTGAGCCTGAGATCAGTGGACTCAGTGGACTCCTTTAAAAAGCAGCTGAAGACTCACTTGTTCAAGCTGGCTTTTGTATGACCTTCATCACCCTCTCCTTGTTCTGCTCTCCCCACCTATTCCACCTTCCTCAGGATCCACTGATTTTGGTGAAACTTTTAATAAGTTTTAACCAGGTGTTTTTAATGTTGGTAACTGCTCTTTTGATGTTAACCTTTTAGAGAGTATTTTTGGAGGCAGCAGTGCAGGGGTTCTGCTGTTCTCCATGATTTGTTTTATTTTAACCCCTTCGTTCGTTCGATCCTTCGTTTTGATGAGTTTAACTTTTATAGTTAAATTCTTGAGTGATCCTGTGGGATCTTGTGTTCGTTGGTTTTTAAGGTTAACTTTGTTTGTTGCAATTTTATTGACTTCGTTTTTAAAACACCTGCTGTTCCGGTAAAACTTTAAACATACGTTTTAACCAGGTGTTTTATGTCAATGAATTGTTTTAGAACTTTTATCAACTTTGTGGATTTAGAAACACCTTCTGTTTTGGTGAAACTTTTAATAAGTTTTAACCAGGTGTTTTTAATGTTGGTAACTGCTCTTTTAATGTTAACCTTTTTGTTCTCCCCACCTATTCCACCTTCCTCAGGATCCACTGAATTCCCTCTTTCCTATTCACTCTCTCTCTTTCTTAACATTTTTTAATCACAATTATCTATTTTTTGCTCATTTTAAATATATTTTTAACAATTTTCTAAATTATTTTTTACATTTTTTGCTTTTGTGAAGCGCCTCGTGATTTTTATCTTGAGAGGTGCTATAGAAATGATATTTTCTTCTTCTTCTTTTCTTCTTCACTAGAGATTTTTAACAATCAATGCATTTCTTTTCTTCTGTATTTAGTTTATCTGCTACAAAACATCACTTGTTTAGGAAGTACATTAAAAAGAAACATGTTAATATTAAGATCATATGTAAAAATAAAATGTTACAAATATACATACATACACCAGCCCCCTGCGACCCTGCATGGACAAGCAGGTACAGAAAATGGATGGATGGATATGTATCTGAAAATATCAGTTATATTAATCAGTTATATTAATATTGGATATTGGCCCAAATTTTCATATCGGTGCATTCCTAGTTGTTATTATCCTAGAACCTGTGGAGCTTTTGTGAGGATAATAAATGTTTCATCTTTCTTTGTGTCATTGGGAGAAGCTCAGCATTTGGGATTATTTCTTCTGATCAGAGAACGACAGGCATCAAGCTGCGATTGTGCAACTGTAACATGAGAGTGTGTTTTGTGCAGAAACATGCCCAAACTAATTAAATAACTGTAAAAAGAGAGGCGTTATCTCTTCACTGGGAACATGCAAATCCAAACTTGTAGCCTTTTTTTCTCACTGCACTGACTGACTCTTTCCTGAGCCTAAGCAGAGAGCAACAATGTTCTCTTGGTTGTAACAAAAAGAGTTTGGGAGAACACAGAAAGAACCGGAGTTGTTGTTCCACGTGTGTCACTGAGTTATGTGTCTATGACTGGACCTCTTCACTGTTCCATTTGCCTATAAATAACTTAACAAGTTGGCCATATTGAATTCTGGTTCTCTTTATTCTTTTGGGACATTTGGTGGTTTCTGAATGCTCCAAATGTGCCCGAGGTGTTTGTTTTTGAAGTTATTCTCCAATTAAAGTAATTCCAACCAACTGTCGGAGCAGGTTCACACGAACAGGTTCTTCCTAAAGCTTGAAGAAACTTTCTTTGCTGCTTTTTTTTTGTCTTTCCTGGGAGAATGCATGCTTTACTTTCTGCGAGGTAGGAGAAAATAAAGGAAAATGGAACACTGAATAAAGCCCTTCATCTGAGGTGAGTGATAAATCACTACAGTGATTAAAAAACAGACACACATGTTAGTAGTTTTGGGAAGAAGACTTCATATTAAAAACTTTTCAACAAAAACATTTCACTATTTAAATGGATTCTATTTAAAAACTATTATGTCTTCATTTGTCTTCATTATTATTACTATTATGTAGTTTGCAAACTAGATATTTTAGAGGTAATTGGGGCAATGCCCTTTTACAGTAACTCTACTCTTATATAAGAAGTAGTTTTCATAACTAAATGTTTATAAAAGGTTATGAATTAATCTGATTTTGACTCAGGATAATCCTACTGAAGGGGGTGGAATAATTAAAAAAATTCAATAATCAAGCATTTTAGTGTTTTCTTTATGACTCCTGTGACTTCTGGAGTTTGTTAGTTTGACTCAAACAAATAAAATTAATTATTCACAGGATAAAAAAAGTATGTTATTGGCGAGTTTAGGCATAAACTACCTGAATTAAACCAGTTTTTCCCAACTGGAACTCTAAAAAGAAAGAGTTAATGCAGAGACCAAAGTTCATCCCGCCGGACTGATAACTTTGTCGTACTTCCTCCTTTCCTCAGGCTGCAGTTACACGTCTAGACCTCTAGCAAAACTGCTGTAACTTAAAAAAAAATCCCTTTGATTAATATGACTGTTGACTATAGTAGACTTGTATGAGTGTCAGAAAGGAACACCTACGATTCTCCATCAGCGACCTGCAGTCCCAGACGTCATTCTTGCCGCGGCACTCGTCCCACATACTGCCGTAGTGGGACTTGTTCTCGTTCTCCACCCATCCCGACCTGGCTGCGATGGCGATGAGGTCAAAAATACAGGCGAAGATCAGCAGCAAGGGCAGGATGCACTTGCACCGAGTGTAGTCGATCCCACAGCGAAACGACATGGCTGCGTTCGGAAGCTGAGGAGAGTTGTGACTGAGATCCGTGCGAGTGCGAGACACAGTGGAACAGCGCGCGTCCTGTGCGTCTTTACGCAGAGTCGAGACGGTGAAAGTGTAGATGGGAGACAAGTAGATCAGCCTCACCCTACAGAGGCACGCACCCGTTCTGGTTGGATCGGGTTGGGCTCAGGGTTGGGCCAAGCGCAGCCATTGGCTCGGTTAGAACTCTCAGGGGGTGGGATTATTTCAATGCAAGCCCTTTGCTTCTCTTAAGGAAGAACTGGCATGGCTGGCCAGGCTAGAGAGTCAGTCAACTTAAATAAAACCATTAGACCATCTCAGAGGTTTATGGCATCCTGCATTTATGACATTCACCTATATTACCTGGCAGTAATGGATTCTCCCCAGCTCATGTTGGGGAGGAGGTGTGATTGGAGGAGCATGAATTAGTGTGTGGATCAAGACAACTGCTCAATTACACACAAAGATAAAAAAACACACACACACACACACACACACACACACACACACACACACACACACACACACACACACACACACACACAGCCATTTCAGTAATTTATATACATATCAGTATATCAATTATATCAATTTATATATTCAATTCAGTTTAATTCATATAGCGCCAAATTACGACAAAAGTCATCTCAAGGCACTTCACATAGTAAACATTCCAATCCAGGTCAGTTCATTAAGCCAATCAGAAAAAATATTTCCTATATAAGGAACCCAGCTATCCCAGCAATCCTCATACTAAGCAAGCATTTAGCGACAGTGGAGAGGAAAACTCCCTTTTAACAGGAAGAAACCTCCAGAGGATCCTGGCTCAGTATAAGCAGCCATCCACCACGACTCACTGGGGATCGAGAAGACAGAGCAGACACACACACACACACACACACACACACACACACACACACACACGCACGCACGCACGCACGCACGCACACACACACACACACCAAGCAATGTGTCTATAGTTATATTGTGTTTTCTTAGTAAATATTCTATTTGGTGAGAGATAAACTTTATTGTATTTATCCTAGTGGATCTATAATTAAACGGGTAAACTAGTAGTAGCACATCCAACGTCAAGGAAAGCAAAAAGTTATCATCAGGAGAGGGAGAATGTTTAAGTGGTTAGCGGCAGTGTGCTAGACGATGGCCCCCTCCATGAGGCCACCACAGTTCAGCTGAACATCATTGTAGCTTCTTCTGGGGAGAAAAACACTTAGAGAGAAAATAAAGTTAACAGTAATCCAGTCTTGATGTAATTAATGCATGACCTAGTTTTTCAGCATCACTCCTGGAAAGGATGCTTCTAATCTTAGCAATATTCCAAAGGTGGAAAAAGGAAATCCTACAAACCTGTTTAACTTGGGATTTGAATGACATGTCTTGGTCGAAGATAACACCAAAGTTCCTTACTTTGTTCTCTGAGATTAATGTAATGCCATTCAGGTCAGGTGATTGACTAAGCAACGGGTTTGATGGATCTCCACAGCCACTATAATTGATGATTCTCAAAGCTCTTTTCTGTAAAATAAATACGGGTTGTGTATAGTTTTTGTATGTTGTTCCCCAGATTTCTACACAATAAGTCAAGTATGGAACAATCAGTGAATTGTACAACGCCAACAAACCAGAATTAGTCACTAAAAACTTGACTCTATGTAATACTCCTAAGGATTTGGCAATTTTACCTTTTATCTAACTAATATGTGATTTCCATGTCAAGTTTTCATCAATAAGAACTCCAAGAAATTTAGTTTCTTTTACTCTTTGAATTTCAATCCCATCAATTTCCAATGACACATCACTGTTCATTTTATCATTGAACAGTATGAAATTGTCTTTATTACGCCGGGGACACACCGGCCGCGGAAGCGCAGTGAAAATGGGACCGCCTTCATTCGGCGCCCTTGTTAAGCTATTCTATAGACCACATGGGCCGCCGAAGCGCCGGCGCTCCAGCCCGCGCCGTGCAGCGATCATGTCGGCGTCTGCTCTATTTTTTTCGCAAGCCGTGGGTGAATTGCGTCAATTCTGGCAGGAAGTCAAACCTAGACATAAGAGGCAGGCGGGTAAATTTAACAAAATAAAGCATTTCAAAATAAAATTCCGCAATAGTCAAATGTGTTTGTAATCAGACACTGCAGAAAAACCACACGGACACACACACACACATACACACACATCGAACTTGTGTGCGTGTGTTACCACATGAAGGGGGTGTGGTTTTGGATGTCTTTTTTCCGGAGCAAACAGAGAGGCAGAAAGTCTGAGGCAAGCAGTTAAGATGGATGACTTTAAATTAATTATGTAAGTTGAGAAACACAAGGAGCTGTACGCCCCCTGAAAAACATGGTTATTTACGTACCCATTTTGGAAGAAACTGCTAGGATACAGCTGCAGAATTGGAGCGGGTTCCAAGAGATTCAACTGGCAGAAACAACTGGTTCATACCATAGGTTCACACACACACACACACACACACACACACACACACACACACACACACACACACACACACACACACACAGAGGAACGGCGAGCAGCGGCCGAATTTCGTGAGCGATTCGCTTCTCGGCGCTTTGCGGCGCTTCCGCGGCCGGTGTGTCCCCGGCCCCTTCTTTCCACCGGAGCCGTCAGCAGCACATTACTGCAGAAGCACATCTTGCGCGGGTAAGCTGATGCTTGGCCCGTCACAATCGCCAATACGGACCTGAAAAACAAAAGAGACCGCTAGCTAGGTGATAACTTCTCACGGGGCCTCACAGTTAGTAACTTTTTTTAAAGTAAAGCAACCGGAAGGCAGTACATTTCTTTATTCTGTAAATCTTGAGAGCTTCGTGTCCAATTTCCTGTCTTTCCTTCCCCAAAAATGTCGAACATGACCCGTTTCAGAGGCGTCGCGCGTAGAAAATAGAGCCGGCGCGTAAAGGCCGCGACATGCTGCTCCTGAGACGTGGCCGACTCGCACTGCTGACGGCTCCGGTGGAAAAGGTTCTGTTGACCACAGCGGTTCCTATCAGCAACTATGACGTGCTGCTGCAGTAACTTGCTGCTGACGGCTCCGGTGGAAAGAAGGGGTCAGTGTCAATCTATTTATATCAAACCAGTTTTTAATTTTAATCAGTTCATCATTTATCACTTTAGCCACCTCCTCATTATCTGATCCTGAGTAAAACAGTGTTGTATCATCTGCAAACAGAATGGTACCGAGTGTCTTAGATAAATTTACCAAGTTGTTAATAAACAAAATGAACTGTTTTGGTTCGAGGACCGACCCTTGTGGCACTCCACAATTAATTTCACATAGTTTTGATTTATGGTCCTTTATCTGAACAAACTGTTTCCTTTTTTCTAAATAAGTTTTAACCCAATTACAGAAAACCTCTTATTCCATACTGACTTAATTTTCGAAGTAACCTTGAGTGATCAATGACGTCAAATGCTTTTTTCAAATCAATGAAATCACAAATGAAGTAATTTTTATTGTCAATTGCTGTTGATATTTTATCCGTTAATTCCATTATTGCCATTGCTGTGGAATGTTTAGTTCTAAACTCATATTGTTCATTGTTTAAAATATTATTTTTTAATGAAATTATTTAATTTAGGGTTAACTATTGTTGCTTTTAATCTTAATATATTACCTCTACTTATGACCAATAAGCTGGGATGTTCTATATAAATATAGAATATCAACCTGCTTGGTCTTTGGATGTTTAATCAGAAGATTCAAGGAATCTTTGTTTATTCAGGGATTGTAGAACACTTCATCTTGATTCAAGTAAGATTCAGGGTTTATAAAAAGTAAGACTTTATTTTTCAAACAGTTAAAACATGACAAGTTAACTAAGATTACTGTGAATGGATGGATCTAGGTGGATGGAACGAGATGTATGGTGACTAAGTGTAAATATGATGTTATCAGAACTTTCGTATCTAGAAGAGCTGAGTTCTGGGTGCAAAAGGGAAGAATTTGGCTTGCGTTAAGCTATGTAGTTGATTCTTATCAAAAAGCATCAGACGCTATCTGTGTGTCTACCTCACCCTTTCTTGGAGACCCTCTTCGTGGATCCGAAGGTCAGAGAGGTCGGATGACCTCTGGCACCGAGGGCTGTAGAATACCCGTAGCACCGACTCTCCAGTCCAGAGATGTCTCGGGTCACAACAGATGGATGGAACCATTTGCGTCTCGGAGGACCCTTAAGGAGTGTGAACAATATCAGCTTTGTTCTGCAGTAACCGATTGCTGTGTCAGCAGTAGGCAGCTTTTAGCAGGGTTTTGGCAGCTGGCCAAGAATGCTCAGGGTTAAAGAGTTTTCCCTCCGAATGGCCGTTCTGAAGTGTTCTCTAGAACTGAATGCTGAATGATGGAAAGCTGGAATGTGACTGCTGAATCACCTTAGTGATTCTGTTTTAATATTCTCATGTTATGAATTCTTGGCCAATCGGAACGTGCCATGTTAAGGGATATTACCAAGAAAACCTCAGACATCACGCCTTCTTGAGATACCGGATGCTCTGATCTGCGGTAAAGAAATATCTATGTGTCATGAGTTTAACTTCACTTTAATTTGTCCTTGTGTCTGAGTGCGGGTGACGATTGCCTTGTCATATCAAACATTACTGATTACCATATATATATATATATATATATATATATATATATATATATATATATATATATATATATATCATTCAATTAAATAATTCATTTCATTCAATTCAATTCAATTCAAAAATACTTTATTAATCCCAGAGGGAAATTGATTGCTGTAGTAGCTCAGAATAATAATAATAATCAAGGCATCAAAGAGTTATTGTATATTGCAATGGCTGTTGGCAGGAAGGATCTCCAGTAGCGGTCAGTGTTGCAGCGAAACTGAAGAAGCCTCTTACTGAAGACACTCTTCCGTTGTCGTACAGTCTTGTGAAGAGAATGCTCAGGGTTGTCCATCATTTTCTTGATTCTCTGGAGAATCCTTCTTTGCATTATCTCCTCCAGTGGTTCCGCAGTCGTCCCCAGAACAGAACCCGCCTTTTTTATTAGGCTGTTGAGCCTTTTCAGGTCCCTGCTTCTGATGCTACTACCCCAACAGACGATGGCTGAAGAGATTACACTCTCAACAACAGACTTGTAGA